CCACTAAGTGCTGAGCTACCCTCCCACGCTCCATACGGGTGTTGTCAGAGGCGCCCCTGCAGCCCAAGGTGCCCCCAGCTCGTCGCTCCCTGCCGGAGCTCCGGTGGCCCCCCTGGACCTCGTGCGGGGTGCTCTGGAGGCCGTGGGTGCCTCCATCGAAATCCTGGGGGCACCTCTTGGGCCAGGGGCACTTCTCAGTGGAGCGAAGAATGACACTGAAGGGGCCCAGGGACACACAGATAAATACACACAAGTAAAAAGATTCCCAATATTTTCTCATATTTTCTGGGTTTCTGTCTTCCCCACCACTTCCCATATTTTGCCATATTTTCTGGGTAATCGACGATTAATTGTGTCTGTGTGTTTTTTCCCCTCCTGAGACACAGACATAAAACTCGGAGGTCCGCGCGGATTCCTTGGATCCGCGCTGGACCCCCCCCTCCCTGGCGCGCGGAGCGCGCAAGGGGCGGCGCCCGAGGCGCCGCCAGGGAGCCCCAGCGCCGATCCGAGAAATCCGCGCGGAACTCAGAGTTATATATAAATCATTGTTCGTCCCCCTACTCGTCGGTCGGAAGAAGTAGGTAAAGACATGAAGTAGGAAGGCGGATATAGTAGATTGGGTCCAGGTCCTCCCAGAGGACAACAAAACACAGCAAAAAACATGTCGATTCTTGGAGTAGGAAGGCGTTTGAAGTAGATTGGGATCTGGGAATCCAAACATACCTACTTTCAACGACCGGCGTGTACTTCTAGGAACACCCGAAGCTTGGGAATGGAACACCTTCAGCCGGCCTCTGACGTCGCAGGCCGAGACCAGGTGTCCCGGCCAGGGTGCGCACCTCCGCGCCTGCCGAGCCGCTGGGCGCGCGCCCGGGCGGCCCGGCTCGGGCACCACTGCGGGCGCCGGAGTCGCGAACACGACCGCACGGACGTCTCCCCCCTTGATTCGAGGGCGGCCAAGAGGGGGGCGTCCAAGAGGGGGGGGGCGCAAATCATGGCCGGCGGCGTGTGCGCGGCCCAAGGGGGGGGCCACGGACGTAACGAAATGATGAGAGGCGCCATGAAATATCATGGCCCGCGCCGTGATGTCCACCCCCTCCTGGTCCTCACCCCCCTCTTGGCCGCCCCCGATTGATTCCCACCACTGAGTCGTCTGGAACGTGCTCGCGCTCGTGCTGCCACGGGGCGGACCGCCCGGCGGGCCGCTGGGCGCCCCCGTGGCGACGGGCTCCCGCGGCCTGGCGGCGGCCCTGGCGGTGCTGCTGGGGGTGGTCGGGGGAAGGAGGGGGAGGAGGGGCAGGAGGAGGAGGGGGAGGAGGAGGAGGAGGAGGAGGAGGAGGAAGGAGGAAGGAGGAGGAGGAGGAGGAGGAGGAGGGGGAGGAGGAGGAAGAGGAGAAGGAGGAGGAGGAGAAGGAGGAGATGCAGGAGGAGGAGGAGGAGAAGGAGGAGGAGGAGATGCAGGAGGAGGAGTTTTTTTGGGGGGGTTTTAGGGCGCCCCGAGGCGGACGCCGAGGTCGGCCGCCCGCGGCCCCCCGCCCACCCGTCCAGGACCATGAGGAGGTAGGCAGCACCTGGAGGGGAGAGGGAGGGCTGCGCCCGAGGGGAGGCTGCCCCGTCGCCCTCCCCTGTCCTGCCGTGGCACGCAGGCCCACGACAGGCCCAATGCCCCGAAGGGCTACCCAGCGTGTCCAGGGAGCCAGCGCCCATGTCGGCCATGAAGTGCCGGCGAGCTTGTCAGGATCCACGTAGCCGCAGTCGGCGACGAACAGGCCGGTGGAGCCCATCAGCGGCACGACGAAGAGGAGGGGTCAGAGGTCTCGCACACATCGTGGGCACTCACCTCGACCTTGCCCCCATCAGGGTAGATCCCCACCTCGAAATTTGCCTCCCCCACGACAGACAGGATAGTGCCGACTCGGCCAATGAAAACTCCTTCCATCACATTTGCGAACCGTCGCACAAAGAGATCCAATGGCCAGGCCGAGCGTTGACAAACTTCCCAGATCGAGGCAGGGCCATCAACCTTGTCGTCACTGTGAGGGCAGTGATGCCTGAAAAGAATCTCCCGCCTGAGCCGCGGAACAGCAGGTAAGGGACTGTCAGCATCATGATAAAGCGCCTGGCCAGGGATGGCTCCCTTCCATTGCTGTTCCTCGGACACCGTGGGTAGACGCAAGCAGGTAGCCTTGATCAGGTGTGTGGCCATGGAGAACACGCTCACAGGAGTGATCTCTACGAACTGATTCCAAGCCTTTTGGTATTTGTCACAGTCATTAATAACCACCATTTCACCATGGAGGCGGCTGTGTAGAGTACCCACTCGCGCGTGTCTCCCGATCATCCTGTCCAAGTCCCAACCTTGCCCTCGACAAAACTCGGCAACTGTAGGCTGAATGGCAGGAGCAGCAGGAACTGGAGCAAGACCTGGAGCACCAGCAGATCCTTCAGCAGAAAGGGGTACTGGAGGCCCCTCTGGAGCAGGGGGCACACCATCCTGACGATGTGCAGCGTCAGGAGCAGGCGCAGGGAGAGACTTCGTCATCACGTCGATGTCTGCCTGTATCGCCAGGAACATATCCTTGATCTCGCTAGGTAAAACTTCCTCAACTTTTCCAGGAGAACAATCTGGTGCACGACCAGGGGCGAGAAGAATATCAGAACTAGGTAGCTCAGCACAGGGTAGGTCGGCACCATCAGGACCCGCAAGTAGCAGCAACTCCTCAATGGTCATCCCGTCGTCCTCGAGTAAGAGCTCCTCCACCTTCCCAGTGCCATCATCAGGTGCACGACCAGGGGCGAGAGCATGGTCCTCGCCGATCGGCACGAAGACCTTCGCATCAGAGTTGAAAGGAAAGACAGGAATCGCAGGCAGATCAGCAGGAGTATGGCCATGGTCAGCATGACGCCGAGGACACTTGGCATCGTCCCAAGAACTATGATCATTACCTCCACCAGCAGGCCCAGCAGCAGCAGAAGACCACGGGTCCAGACCCGTGCCATGCCAAGGGTCACGCAGTCGGCGACGAGCACGGCCTCCAGGGTGATCATCTGGTCCATCATCCTCGTCTCCTCCATCATGTCCGTCGGGCCCCACAGGGGCATCAGCGGGTCCAGCGACAGCCCGAAGTTGAAGAGAGATGTGGGCCTCTCCTCGGCTGTTCTTGTGGCCGTGGTCCACCGAGACGGTCCAGGGGAGCGAGCCAATCACCGAGTAGATGAGGTCGATCAGAATGGCGTTCTGCGTCTTGTCGTCTACCTCGGGGAGGAGGACGATCTGGAGCAGCAAACGGTCAGTATGTGAGGCCAATCGGAAACGAGCCTTTCGCCCAGCCCGTAGCTGCGCGAGAATCCAATCGAGCCTCGCAGCCACGACCATCCACGGGGCGAAGCGGGGGGGCCCTGCACGTGCAGAGCGGCGGTAACTCGGGATGCGAGCAAATGCTCGAGCCCAAATGGTTACTGAGATGCGGGAGGAGGAGGAGGAGGAGGAGGAGGAGGAGGAGGAGAACAAAACAACATGAACATAAAACTTTTGGCGCTCCGCGCGGAATTCTCGGACATGCGCTGGGCCCCCCTCAGGCGCGCGGAGCGCGCCTGAGGGGGGGCGCCGGAAGCGCCGCCCGGGGGGGGCCCAGCGCGGATCCAAGAAGGCCGCGCGGAGCGGCAAAAAGTGTATGCTTATGGCATCTTTCTTCTTCGAGGACTGTTTAGCGGGATCAAGACCTGGGAAGAAACATATGCTTGCTCCACAAGGAGGTGGAAGAGCCTGCATCGACACAAATCTGTTGAGGTCCGCGCAGATTTTCTGGATCGGCGCCTACCCCCCTCCCTGGCGCGCGGAGCTCGCCAGGGGCGGCGCCGAAGGCGCCGTCAGGGGGGCCCCAGCGCCGATCCAAGAAGTCCGCGCGGAGCTCAGAAGGTTTACAGTGGAAATCTATAGAAATCTAAAGAAGGACGCAAGGGCCTTGGACGCCGAAATTGTCACTTTTCGGGCGGCGGACTGCCAACACCCTGACGGGCTGGCCGGTGGAAACCGCGAAGGACGGGCCGCAGAGGCAAAGAAGCGAAAGGCACCCTCAGGACGTCCGTGCGTCCTTACTATGAGGTTTGACTGTACCTTCATATGCATGAAGGCTGCTGCTCTTGCTCGACCCACGTGACCATGCGACGCCTGCACGGAAGCAAAGCCATGCGATGGCGGCAAGACGCAGGGATCATCCTAAACCGTGTTTTTCGGTTTCGCTATGTTTTCGTTTTCCCTCATTCTGGTCTTCAGTCCGCTTCGCTGCAAAACGGAATCGAAACGAAAACGGCCCACGAAATCGCCAAAACACCGTTTAGGTTTAGGCCGGGCGTGTCCCCCTACAGGCGGATCGTGAAGGACAAAGTCAGCATAGCCAAAATGTGCAAACATAGTAGAAAACAAGTGGCACGTGTGCCATGGCTCTTGCACAAAAAGGAAGGGGGAGGAGGAGGAGATGGAGGAGGAGGGGGGAAGAGGGGGCAAGACATCGGGGCCCAGCAACGGGGCCCAAATCCCAGGTGGGGATGGGGGGGAGAGGTGGTGTGCGTCGCGACGCGGAATGCAGTGCTCGGAGCGGAGGGGGCACGGGGCGGAGGTCCCACTCTGGCGCTGGGGACGCGGGGGGAGGGGGGGGGCGACGCGGAATAAAGCATTCGTGGCGGAGGGGGCAGTGGGCGGGGCCCGCTGGGGCGCTGGGGACGCGGTGGGGCTCGGGGCAGAGAGCCACGGCGCGGGGGTCCCACTCTGGCGCTGGGGACGCGGGGGGGGGGGGGTGCGACGCGGAATAAAGCGTTCGTGGCGGAGGGCGCGGAATAAAGTGGTCGGAGCTCTAGACACCCTGTGCAAGAGAATAATCGAAACATCGTCCACACATCATTTTCGGACCATGTCCTGCATTCCCCCCCCCCGTGGAGGGACGGGCCCGACCCAAGTTTGGGCCGACCCCTGGCAGAGCGCGGGGGGCCAGACGCGCGGCCTGACGTTCTCGTCCTGCCCCCGCGCGAGGCGGTCTGCCATCACGTTGTCGGCGCCCTTGGCCAGCAATATGTGCTCCTGCGGAGGCCGGACCCCCTCTCTCTCTGGCCGTCCCTGCTCCTCCCCCCAGTGCTCGTCGTCTCTGCGGGCCGCGCGAGGTGGGCGAGAGGGCGCGAGAGAGAAGGAGAGACGGAGAGGGAGGGAGAGAGAGACAGGGGGAGAGAGACAGGGGGAGAGAGACAGGGGGAGAGAGAGAGAGAGAGGGAAAGAGAAAGAGCGAGAGAGAAGAGGAACCAGAGAGAGAGAGAGACAATACGAACAAATAACTACATAGAGGGAGGGAGTGAGAAAGAGAGAGAGAGAGAGAAATACATGTATATATATAGAGAGAGAGAGAGTGAGACAGACAGAGACAGAGAGAGAGGGCAGAGATAGAAGGGAAGCCTGGAGAAGCTCGGAGCAAGAGCAGGAGAGGGACATGGAACGGCGAAGCCAGGCGCAGTACATACCAAGGCGAAAGATCTTCCCAAGGACCGATGCCAGGCCAGCGGGGTGGGTGACCCATAGGAACCGGGGCCATCTTCTCTGCAGACGGCCACTCGAGCGCGGCAACGTACTGCTCTGAGCGTCATCGCGCGCGTCTACTGTGCTGCCGGACCTGGAACACCTGACACCCTCCAAAATGGCAGAAATGGCAGCCCCCTGTCTGGGCCTCTTCAAGCGCGGTGAGCCTTCACCTCCACTTCAAGTCTTACGCCGTAGACTCTGTGGCCGACTCTTGGATCCTTGACAGGCTGAACACTGCACGAACGTTACACTCCACTTCTGGTGTTGCCCGAGATTCCCGAGCAAGGGAGCGCCTGCGCTCCCGATCAGCACCTCCACCCCACAAGCCACTTGCGACCACGGGCACCATTGAGCTGTCAGCTGGGTTGAGCTGGGCCCTTTGGCTCGTCGACTCCACTGGCCGGGATAGGGTGACCAAATCTACTGATGCATATCTACTGCTCCCTGTCCAGGCCCATCCTGAACCCAGCAGCGGTGTATACGCCACGCGGGCCACGCCCTCCTGGCTTGACCAGGAGAGCGTGTAGCTCCTGGGCCCAGGGAGGGCCTGGCCAGGGGGCGCAGTGGATATGTACAGATTTCGTCGCCCGACAGGAGCGGGAGCCCGAAGCTCAGCTCGGCAGGCTGCCCGAACACGGAGTAGCTGAAGTGAGGCTCACGGCCCAAGCAAGCTTCACGGTAGAGGAAGCTGAAGAAAGATCACGTCTTCTCCTCCTCCCTGCTCCTCCTCCTCCTCCTCCTCCTCCTCCTCCTCCCTGCTCCTCCTTCTCATCCTCCTCCTCCTCCTCCTCATCCTCCCTCCTCCTCCTCCTCCTCCTCCTCCTCCTCCTCCTCCTCATCATCATCATCACCCTCCTCCTTCTCCTCCTCCTCCTACCTGTCGGGGAACCATAGTGAGGGACAAGCTGAAGGGGGGGTGGAGAACATCGACCCGGAATCGGCGATACATCGCCGATGGGTAGGCGACAGGCCACCAATAACGATGCTGATGCCGCCTGTTCTGAGGCGGGGTGGGCTCTCCGGCCCCCGTCGGCGATCCGTGGGCGACTGGGGGGTCGGTGCGTTCCCCCCCGAGCCGATCCCCCTTATCCCCGCCTGACCCCCTGACGTTGCCCCTGACCACGCTAAGGAGCAGAACAGCAGCCAGGACAACGCTGGGCTCCAGGCGAACTGCTCGACTGCCACTGGGGCCACCCGAACCCTGACCTGACCGATCACCCGTGCAACTGTCGCCACAAGGACACAATCATTCAGGGCAAAGCTCCAGACTCCCGAGCATCAGCCGAAAGGACCCGGCCGAACCGAGACCAGACCCGTTTTCGGATTTCATAAACCCACGGTTCTCATCCATGCCATGCCTCGCGGAATAAGCGCTGCGCCTGCCCAAACAATATAAAACATCCGGCCGGCGCTCCTCGCCCTTCTTGGCGATGACGGACATTCGCTTTCGCGAAGAAGTGAACGCGTTCGTCGCCACTATGGTGTATTCCTCTTTCCTCCCGACACGGCGAAGAAGCTACTGCAGGTCAACGCCCATGGGCGGGAGGAGCACGGAGAAGCAAGGTGGACGACGAAGAGGAGGATGAGGAGGAAAGAAGAAAAACGTGGATGAGGGCGGGCGAGGAGAGCGGATAACAAAGTTTTGATATGGAAGCTGCATGACGAGACGATATGTTTTCTAGCGGCTATTGCTTCTGTGTAACTCACTCTGGCAGTCCCAGCGCCGCCTGGACTGCCGACAAGTCTGACGAGCAAAGTGCACTGTACCCCGACTGGCAAGCGTGCACGGCAGACACAGACTGCTACACTCCCCGTGACTAAGGGCGGCACGAGGGCGGGTGATGAAGAAAAAACGAGGCTTGAGCACAAACGGTTGCGCGTACAGCGCTGCAAGAGGACTGGCAAGCTGAGACGGTTTCCGTTTAGGTGGACATGGAGGGGTAATCAGGGCCCGACACTCGAAAAAACCTCAGCACGTCATTATCGTGCTACGCACACCCATGACGAGACGATATGTTTTCTAGCGGCTATTGCTTCTGTGTAACTCACTCTGGCAGTCCCAGCGCCGCCTGGACTGCCGACAAGTCTGACGAGCAAAGTGCACTGCACCCCGACTGGCAAGCGTGCACGGCAGACACAGACTGCTACACTCCCCAATTCTGTCCCAAAGCTGGCGTGGGCCAGTTCACACATTAAGATAGAGGGACCTTATGGGGGCTAAAAGGGCAGCAGCGAGCGAGCGAGCGAAAGCGACGGGCATTTCAAAACTTTTCAAACACAGAGGGCCTGGGTGCCTTCTGGTTCGAGGTCCCTGGATCCGCAGCCCGTCAAGATCGCGAGATGAGATTCCTGCACACAAAATTACCCACGGGAGACGGTGACGACTACCGAAGGCACTGAGCGTGTTATCTACTCGAGTGGTAGCGCAGGCAGCGAGCTTGTGCAGGAGTGGCCTCAGCACGGCTGAGGTGTCGTAATGCAAGATCAGGCAAGGAACAAAAGATCTGGCGGCCGCTCGCATGACTCGTTGGACGTGCGACGTGTGACGAGGGTTGAAACCCGACTCAACCAAGACGCCTAGGAGACGCTCACGCTGTAGATCGCCCACTAAGGATCTGGCGAGCAAAGCGTCGGGACGCTCGTCGTACAAGCATCTGACTTTAAAACCTGACGCTCGAAACGGCCGGCCGATCTGCCGACAGTGTGGTCCCCAGACGCATATCCAGCGTGACACGACGCCGCGGCTTACGGGAAAACGGGCACGGCCTGCCCGTCCAAAAGCACTCCCACGAGCCGGGCCTCGCACTGCTTTGCGTGCGCCTTGAAGCTCTCGCTCAGCCTCTCCCAGGTCTTGCTCAACAACGCGTGCTTCTCGTACCGCTGAAGGCTCTTGTCTGTCTTCCACCCGCCGCGACGCTTGATGGCCGCCATGTCTCGTAACCCGTGGAGGCGGTCGTGGGAGGCTCCTGAGTGCCGAGCCTGGTATGGTACCACATCGATCTTGAGACGGTTTGTCACGGCCTTGAACGAGCGGGCCAGTTCGGGGTAACTGAAACGCCAGAGACACTCCCCCGCCGTCCGCGACTTGAGGGCCTCCAGCAGTGGGTGGAGCGACTTCCAGAAAGAGTGGTCCAGCATGCAGCTCTGGTCGAACTCGTTCACCTTGTTGGCCACTCCGCCCTCGTACGGGTTCAGCGTTACTCCCCACAGGCCCGTCACGGAGTTCGGGGCTATGAGGTCGTCTGGACGCATGGCCAGCAAGCTCCCAGGCCTGCAGTACGTGCTCCACATCACGAGCACCGCCAGACCCATCTCGAGCTTGCCGTCCTGAACCAGCCCGTTGATGATGGCTGCCCAGACTGCAAAAGCCTGAGGCACGCGAGCCCGAGGCGGAACCACGTTCACCCAGCCCTTGAGCGCCCGCCAGCTGCGAGGCAGGCCCTGGCGTCCGACCTTGCCGAACTGCGGCATCACGTGCATCACCGAGGCAATGACCTTCATTCCTTTGGACGGGGCCTCCCCCTTCAGCCACAGCTCCCCGAAGTACATCACCAGCAGCTCGTCCAAGCGACTGGTGTCCACATCCTGAATACGGTCGACCTCGGCCCACTCCGCGAACGATGTGAGCTCTTTCACGTACGACCTCTCGGTGCGGGCCCTCACGGCGCGCTGTTCCAGCACGCTGAGCCCGTGCAGCTGCTTGTCCCTCTCCATTACCTCCTGCAGCCACCTCTCCAGACGTCGCTTGCCGCGACGCTCGAGTCGGCGGGCCCGATCGGCGCGCTCGTCCTGCGCGTCGGACTCGCTCGAAGTGGAGTCGGACGGCGCGCCGCGCTTCTGGGCCGAGCCGCTGGTGTCTGGCCTTAGGATGCCGTGGTAGTCGGCCGTCTGATCGGCCAGGCGCGGTGGGGCTGCAGGGACTCCCGCGCCCAGCAGCGTCCCGCGACCTCCACGACCCTTGACCAGGCCGCGGCTCCGTCCCGCTGCGACCGCCGCGCGGCTGCGGGTCAGCGTCCGCTCGCGCCGCTTCGACGCGGCGGGTGCTCTCGGCGTCGGCCAGTCCGCCACGGCTCGCGCCAGCGTCCGAACTCTTCGAGGCCGACCCGAGTCGCCCATGAGCAGCGGACGAAGAAGGATCTGGGAAACAATCAGAAAGACGCATGCAGCGCGCTTCATGGATGCTAGGCGCTTCTTGAGCCAAAGCGCCTGCCGACGGGTGACAGGGCGGATGCACTTGCTTTCGACCAGGCTCAAACTGAGGTAAAAAATCGGCAAGCCTCAAGACTCTGGAACGCTCGGGGGCTCGACCATGAGGCCAAAGACATTCATATAGCTTCAAAGGACGTCGATGGGGTGCGATATGAGGTCTGTGGTCTCGCTCCCTTTCCCCCTCCATGTCACTTGTTAAACTTCGTGCTCTCAAAAAACTACGCTGATGACCCCCCTTGCTCGACACGGGGGGCGCAGGAAAAGAAACCTCACCAGGACTCTCACGAGGTCCTTTCGCGGTCCCCTGGGACGGCGGGTGTGAAAAAAGCCGAGAGGGCCAGTCCGCGGGGTTTCGCTCCGAGGGGATCCATCTTACCGTGAGACGGACGTTCCTGGCGAGGCAAAGACACGCAAGTTTCCTAAGGATCAACAAAAGCTTGTAGTTTCTGGTGCGGTATCTGTCACAACAAAGTACAAGCGCGAGATTATCACAGAACAGGAGCTGTCTGAGATTGCGACCAGGGCGAGAGAGAAGGATGCGCTCGGCGCCAATGAGCAAGGCGCGGGCTTCGAGCAGCAGAATGTTTTCCTCAAAGGCAAAAGGCCACCCTCCGCACACGTACCAAGCATCCTCGGCCAGATCGGAGGCCGATATCTCCTCGAAATCGCCAGAGGCCTCGAGTCCCTGGGCCCCCACGGCTCCAAGGGCCTCGAGACTATCACGGTGCAACAGCGGGCACGAGCCAAGCAAAGCGGCGTCACGGGCACGGACGTGCCCAGGATGTCTGAACCGCTCACGCTCACGCACTCGGCCATAGCGGGAGGTAGTGCTGGCCCCCAGCGCGCGTAGGCACACGCCGAAGCCCTCCTCGCAGGCGTCCGTGGCGCAAGCAATGCCGTTCCAGTCCAGCTCCCACGACGCCACCAGCATGATCATAAGGCCCAGAAAGCACTTCAGCTCCTGCCGAACGCTCGCCCAGAGCTCAACGGGCGCGTGGTAGTTGCTCTGTATGAAGCTGTAGACGGCGCTGAAGCACGTGAGTGTCTCCCGGCGTATCAGTCCCGCGAAGGTGCAGTGGCCGACCACGATCTCCACGGCCCGACCACTCACGAGCCTACGTCGAAGCAGCCCGCGTATCCCTTGCCGAAGCCGCCAGAAACGCTTGCAGCTAAGGCGGGTGTGCCGGCGGTTGGCGTCCAGCACCACCCCCAGGGCTTCGATCTCCCCCTCCGTGATCTCCAGCTCGTGAGTCTTGAGCCCGCGGGACTCGAAGCTGCTCACCAGGCGCTCCATGGTCTCCTCGACTATCTTTCGCCCACCACCGAACACGCCCACGTTGTCCACGTACACGTAGTGCCGAATCTGAGCCCCCCCTCGGAGGCAGCGAAGCAGCAAAGGGCGCCCGTGATCCACCAAGAGCTCACACCTGTCGATCACCGCGGCGGTGGCCTCCTCGTCGATGTCCTGGGCGAAGAAGAGCGACCAGGTGAAGCCCATGGGCAGCGCGGTCGCCAGCGGCACCACCTCTGAGCCAGGCTCCACCTCGACACCCTGCACACGATGTATCCCGATCTCGGATGCCAGCACCGACGGGAGGCCAAAGTACTCGCACAGGTGGTCGGGCATCTTCATGCGGTGGAAGGCGTCGGACACGTCCACGGTCCCGACAGCTAGCTGTGACGCCCCCTCCAGGTCCCCCTCGACCTCGATGTTGCCGAGGCCCTCAGCAGTCAGGAGGCTCACGTGCGGGGGGGGTCGGAAATGTGCGTTCGTCCTGCGGGCATCCAGTATCATCCTGAGCTGCCCCGACTTCTTCTTCACGAAAAACAGCCCGACCTTCTCGCGACAGCACGCCGAGAACTTCACAAGCCCCCTGCTGTGCAGATCCTTCAAAAAGCGAACATATCTCCTCCGATTCCGCGTCAGGGCGGGATCAACGTAGCAAGGAATTTCATGCAACTGAGCCTCAGTTAATTGTTCATCGGCAGCCAGGCGCATTCGCTCTCCCTCCCCCTCCAGAAAATACCGACCTCGGGCGCCGACGAGCTCCTCGATCATCTTGCAATCGTTCGTGTCCGAGGGCAGCGACACCAGGTCATGCCTGAAAGGGGCCAGAGCCGTTGAGGAGGGGTCGGCGTCGGTGTAACCGCCGCCCCTCCCTCGGAGCAACTCCATCAAAGCCGCCTCCGTGGTGAGATGCCGAGCCTTCTCGCTACTGGGCTGCTGGAGCTGGGCCAGCCCCTCCAGGTAACGTCTCGTAGAGTCCGCCATCTCCGACGCCAGGCC